CTGACTTTGATTTATTTATTGAAACAGGATGTAGGTTAGGGTTAGGGTAAGGTTAGGCTGAATCATATTTAAAACCATTATATAAAAGCTGATCTGGCTTTCACTGCGATAGATGTCAAGCCAAGGCTAAGGTTGCAAACATTTTAACTTATTTTAATTTGTGAGAAGTTGACTTTGAAAGATTTCATTTTTTTAATAGATAAAAGAGACGAGTTTTGATTTAAGGTACACTTTTTAATTTTAGTTGTCGTTTTCATATACATAAAGATCCTATTGTATTTGGTAAGTATTTGAACAAATGTAAATAATCTATCTTTTATAACCAGCTACTTCACAGGACAAATAACCAGAACGATGATTTGGACTTTGGTACTCATCACATTTCTTCCAATCGCAAGATCAGGTATGTTAACGACTTTTTTTCTTTGTGATTATAGACTTGAAGGATTCGTTGCTTCGTAGCACATTTCACAATTATAATTGAATGAGGCAATTATATGCATTAAGGAAATTTTCGCTTTTTGTGATATGAATCAGTGAAAGGTAATTTTTATTCAATTCAAGTAAATTTATTTTGGATTTCTTTAAAGGGATTCGTCATTGATTGGTAATGTATTACTTGTTCTAACTTAATGTGACTTTATTATTTCAGAAATTTTTCTCGCGGAATTGTATATATTCACTTTTGTGGGGTTTTCTTTCATTAGGATTTTAATCCTGATTAATGTTCAGTATATTCTAGATAGATTTGAATATATTTTGTTCAAAACCTGCAATTAACGAAAACCAGGATGAATTTATCATAAGATTTCATATCCACTTCTGATCCTGATAAAACTTTGTTTTTGTAATTAAATTTTTTTTAATGGATGGCCTCCTTTGAAATTTTTCATACACAGAAGAAACTCTTGCCTGTCGAGAGAACTGGGACACAAAGCACGATATGCAGTTGATTATTTCATGCAACATTAATACAAGAGGTTCCGTTGGGTCGAAATTAATTCTAGAAAATCTGTTCTGTAATTGGAGTGTTCTGAACATTTAATAAAACAGTGAGAAGCTTACCAAGCCATGCACAAAAATCTCTTTTGCTATTGGGATGACTTTAAACGAGATTTTTATATATTTCAATAAATATTATAGAATTGATTGATTGATTGATTTTATACTGTTTAACGTCCCTCTCCAGAATATTTCACTAATATGGAGACGTCACCATTGCCGGTGAAGGGCTGCAAATTTAGGCCTTTGCTCGGCACTAACAGCCTTTGAGATGGGAGGGATCTTTATCGTGCCACACCTGGTGTGACACAGGGCCTCAGCTTATACGGTCTCATCCGCCCAATTTAGTCGCCTTTTACGACAAGCAAGGGGGTACTGAGGACCTATTCAAACCCGGATCCCCACGGGGCTATTATAAAATTGTCTCCCAAATTTATAATATTATATTAATTACACTGTGATAATTGCCGTCTATAGTGAAAACGCTATGATTTTATGCATCAAAGGATGCTTGCTTTTCTGATTGGCAATATTTTTTTTTATGTTTTTGGAGACCAGGTCTTCCAAATATCTATATGAATTTTCATGCATACGAAATGCATTTTTGTATTGTTTTATAAACTTTTGATCTTGAATACTGTAAATAACCTCCATGTGTGTCATACAAGGGTGTCTGATGCATGGTGAATTCATCCTAAGTTTTTGAACGATCGACTTTTGAAAATTTGGTGATTTTATAGTTCCCAGAAGTTGTATAGTGTTTAATGATCCATAACAGATTCACACGACTTCAAGATTAGACTGTACTTAAGTACGAGTTTTTTTTTTCATTTTTGTTAGAAGTCAAGATAAAGTCTTCGTTTAGCATTTAGCAATTGATGGAACAAGCAATATATCTTTGTTTTTAGAGTATTATGAAGGTAAACTACATGTACGTTTAAAATTAATTTTTTCATGTATTTCAATGAATATGTAAGATTTTAATTTATTTCTATAGAAATTTGTGGAACAAAACCATACGACCCTAACTATTACTCGTGTTGCTATGGAGAAGTCTACTTGGGCAAGGGCCAAAAATGTTGTGGAACTAAACCATACGACCCTAACTATTACTCGTGTTGCTATGGAGAAGTCTATTTGGGCAAAGGCCAAAAATGTTGTGGAACTAAACCATACGACCCTAACTATTACTCGTGTTGCTATGGAGAAGTCTACTTGGGCAAGGGCCAAAAATGTTGTGGAACAAAACCATACGACCCTAACTATTACTCGTGTTGCTATGGAGAAGTCTACTTGGGCAAAGGCCAAAAATGTTGTGGATCTAAACCATACGATCCAACTTATTACTCGTGTTGCAATGGAGAAGTTCGACTGGGCAGTTGTTAGTAAAAAATCTAGACGATTCACCGCGGGGGATTTTTTTTACCATTAAACTTTTATGTATTTGTGTTTAATTTATTCTAAAGTTTATTTCAATTAAATGGAAAATATTTTCTTTGGCATATTAGATAATAAGCAGAGCAAACATGGACTGTTTCAAACAGATGTGAGATCAGGTGCCATTGAGGTATTTAGATCTCGGCTATGTTAAGAAGGGCCCAAGTTCATACTAGAAGTCCACGTTATGGGTAGCCATAGAATTAAACACAAAGAATTAAACATCAGAATTAAACACACAGAACATTGAATGATGAAAATCATTTTACAAAATTGTGTTGCTATAATATTTTGAAATCAATATTTACATCAAATATGTTTTTAAATCTTGTAAAAAAAAACACAATTGATAAGATTTATTCCAAGTAAAGAAAAAATATTATGGTCACAAATGACGTCACAAGCCATGATATGACGTTGTGCAAGTAAACAATAGAAGTAGACTTACTGAATAAAATGATTTTAAAAAATGCTTTTATAAATTTGCAAGCACCGCTTATTTTCAAATTCAATAGCCCCGTGGGAATCCGGGTGAGAATAGGTCCTCAGTATCCCCTTGCTTGTCATAAAAGGCGACTAAATGGGGCGGTCCTTCGGATGAGACCGTATAAACCGAGGCCCCGTGGCACAGCAGGTGTGGTATGATAAAGTTTTCTCCCTGCTCAAAGGATGTAAGTGCCGAGCAGCCCTTCACCGGCAATAATGACGTCTCCATATCAGTGAAATATTCTGGAGAAGGACGTTAAACAGTATACAATCAATCAATCAATCTTATTCAATAATTTAAGGAAAAGGAAATAATTTACATAGAGCAATTATATGCATGATCATTTTTTTTTCAAAATATAATGATTCATTGCTTATATTTACATTTATTTTAAAATGAGATTTCTATTTAAAAACCTATTAATTATCCTTCGTGTAAGCGAATAGATCAGCCAACGTGACCGCTTCTGGTCAGTTTAAGCGTGATGTTTTTGTTTTCCTTTGTGACGTTGCGCTTTCTCAGCGCTCAGCGATTATTACTTCAAACTAAAACGCATGCTCAAACCTCTTGCCACCCTGTCTGTGTTATGGTGTTTTGAATGCAATAGATCTGTATTCACTTTATATGAAAAAAAACTTATGTAATATAAATATATAGTAGCAAGGAGACTGCACAGTGACAGCGAATGTAAAGAAAATCGTTTAAATAATAATATACCTTGAAAGAAACATAATTTACCTAGAAAGGTTAAGGGTATACGCTACTCTGAAATGCAATATGGAATATAGCTTGCTTATATCATGTATATCTTAAAAAGTGCTGGGAGGTTATGCTGGTGTGCGAAACATTATTTTTATTCCTAATAAAATTGAATATTTTAATATAATATAATGAGATGAAGAATAGAATTCAATCTCTAAATTCCATAAAATTTCATAAAGTAAGGCTAAACTTGTGCAAAGTAAAAATGGAGTTCCAAAACGTCAGAGGGGGGATCAGGTGCTAGGATGAGTGAGCATCCCCTGCCGACAGGTGAAACCCGCCAGTCATGTGTCCTTTGTCATGATCAGGAAATAACGGGAAAATCCAATTTAGAGTGCATAAACATGTAATGATTTAACAATTAGTGTCCCATCTCTAATGATTTGAAGGTCTCTGTTTGCTTTGCTCCTATTTTGTATTTTTTTTTATCTTGAATACTGTCTGTTATCTTTTTTTGTATTCAGATGAAGCAAAATTTGTGCATAATCTTATTCATGAAAAGAAGAAAACGCTTGTTGTGGCCTTCAACTAGACATTTAGATATATCGACGACGTATTGTCAATTTACATTTGTAAAGTCCGTTCCTAATTCGATACGATAAATCCTGGTGAGCTTGAGATAAAAAAAAAATACCACAGAGTCTGAAACATCTGTTTCATAATTGGATATTTTACTTAAAATAAGGATATGGAGATAACGAACAGTATTCAATCTCAAAGTCCATCAAACAATACAAAACAGGAGCAGAGCAAACACAGACCTCCGAAACATCAGAGGCGTTAATGGTAATCTAACAACAAACTTTATGATAAACGTGATGCCTTTAACTTTTCTATCGTCAACTTCCCTTACTTATGCATCAATATACCTTCATCACCTGCATATGTAGTTTTTATATCTCAGTTGATTCGATACGCAAGAGCATGCGCTGCGTATGAACAATTTTTAAAACGATGTGAATAACTGACAAACAACTTGATGAAACAAGAATATCAGCGGTCTAATTTAAAATCATCATTTTGTAAGTTCTTTGGTCGATTAAATTATTTTGTTAGCAAATACAATTTCTCATTGAGATAAATGCTGACTGATTTTTTTCATACTAATTGTTAGTCCAGTATTTATAAAATGAATTGACGACGGATTTTTTCCGTTATTTCCAGATCATAACAAGGAACAAACGGCGGGTGTGACCGGTCAGCAGGGAATGCTCACTACACCATGGCACATGATCCCATCTCTGATGTTTAAGAGGTTCATGTTTGCTTTGCTTTTATGTTGTATAGTGTAGTGGACTTTGATGTTCATACTGTTCGTTATCTCTTTATCCCTCATATGTTTCATTATTATGAAAACCACCACTCAGTATTAAACTTTATGTTGAAATGTATGATAAACTATATGCTGACGGAGGTCATTATATGAAATACAGATGTATTTACGACGAAGTCATTGTATGAAACAGATGACTTCAATATTGGATATCTTTTTGTTTTTACTGAATGAGATTTTTATTCACTGCATTTCTAAAGTCTTGTATTTATTTTTTTCATTCTATGAAACTTTTATCCATAAAGTCCATATCACATTAGCCAATTATCGTTCGATGACCACGGTAGTTATTCTGTAATTATGCTTACTTTTGAACTGTATGTTTGAGTGAAAGGGGGGCTGAATGTTTTAATATATCTATTTTAAACAGTCATATATTAAACAAAAAACTATTAGGATGATATTGAAACTAGATTTTATTGAATTTGATTTTTGAAAATAAAAGCAAAGATCAAGATAGGAAAAAACCAGAATACATTGTGTGCAGAGCTGCAGCGAGAAAAAGAGAGATGAGTAATCGGGAAAAAACTGAACACCAATTATGCAATATATTTGAGAGGCTATTCATCTGAACGGTCACAGGACAACAAAATATCATATTGAAAATTCATTTATTCAAACAGGATTCGAGTATCTTGCACTTGATTTCATTTGCTTTCGTTATGTAAAAGCTGATCTGGTTTTGATATATATTTTTTGAAGGTAGCATATTGAGAAAGGTAGGTGATCTCGGGATTTAATGGGATAGTGAAGTAAATTCATGACTTGCTAATCTTCACCTTTTTTTCATGACCATGATAAAACGATAGATAATCAATAAGTACTTTATTTCAAATAAAACGTTAATATTCAAAATGGTATGTTTCTAGTTTTTTCCCTATTCTTTTCAACCTACCCACACCAGAAAAGAAAAGATTCCTTTAAAATGAGTTTGTGTGTGACAGTCCTTTCATTTGGGGCATTTCTTTTCCTGCCGGCTGCTGATTCATTTTATTATGGACAAGGTTTGTTAAATTTTTCATTTTTCGCTTATATTACATTTTACAAAATACAAGCAAAAACTATATACTTGAAATGAAAAAAAAAAGAAAGAAAGAAAAACAAGGAAATATGCAATTTTCGAATCAAATTAGGAGAATAAATTATGAGAAGGGCAAAAACGATTTGCAGAAAATAAGGGATGGAATCAAATGAAATAGAAAAGTAAACAAAACATGTCACTGAGCCACACTCCATGTTATTCCATTGTCATATTCATGGTATAAATTAAAGTCACTAAGGATTTTTTATTACTATACACGATAAGAACTCAGTTTGTAAATAATGGCCTCACAATCATTATGGAAAAAAGTCAGTCAGCTATTGATATAATGATAAATATAGGATAAAATGATAAATATAATTTGCTGGTTAGGTCATTGTATCGACCTTAGAACCTATGAACTGATGACTTCAAACGAGAAACGAGCATTAATTATAAAAGTTTTATTAAAAATGATGCCATAAACAATGAATATATATATACAAGAATTCATTTTACATACGATCGGCAGTATAAAGAATATGGAGAAAATGAACAGTATTCAATCTCAAATTCCATAAAACAATACAAAATAGGAGAAGAGCAAACACGCACCCTAAAACGTCAGAGGTGGGATCAGGTGCCATGGAGGAGTGAACATCCCCTGCTGACCGGTCACATCCGCCGTGTGCTCCTGTCATGATCGGGAAAGCACGAAAAAAATGTGTCGTTAATTCAGTTTATAAATAATGGATTAATAATAAGTATGGAAAACGTCAGTCAACATCCCACTCAATGATAAATTATATTTGCTAACAAGGTCATTGTGTCTCACGGCAATCAACCCACCTTTCTTTCTTTTTTGTGAATATCGGACGTGCAGATTTGCATACATTTACATACATGTGTTTATTTTTTTTTTCATAATTGGATGCTTTTTTTTAAATTCAACAAGCTTGAAGTCTTTATTTTTAATTTAGAAATATTGTATTATACATGTATTAGTCAGAAAAGAACCGTAACTCTATCTCTTGCTTTCAAAAAGATAAAAAATACAATTCATCGGCAAATTTGCTTTACTGTCATCATTTCAAAATTACAAAATTGGTGGTTTATCGATAATTAAATTTAGGTTAGTATCAATTATTACTCACTTTTCTAGATGCTGTTTGTAGAACTACAACATACAATCCTGGTTTTGGTATTTGTTGTGATGGAGTTGTAAATAGCATAAGCAGTGGAACAAGTTGCTGTGGAACTTCAGCATTCTACCGCGGTTTCGCTATTTGCTGCAACGGAGTTGTAAATAGCATAAGCAGTAGCACAAGTTGCTGTGGAACTACAGCATTCAATCGCGGTTTCGCCAGTTGCTGCAACGGAGTTGTAAATAACATAAGCAGTGGCACAAGTTGCTGTGGAATTTCAGCATACAACCCTGGTTTTCACAGGTGCTGCAATAACATTATCTGTTAGAAAGTAGCTTTCTAAAAATAAAATTCCTCACATTTTCTTGTCAGATTCTTGTAATGAAATGTATTAAGAGGACTAACAGTACTCAAGCTCAAAATTCATAACAGAAATACAAATTTTGGAGCAGAGCAATCACAAACCTTTAAAACATGCATCAAAAGTTGGAACAGGATCCTTAGAGGAGTGAGCATCCCGTGAGACATAAACCCCGTATGTAGGTGATAAGTGTATATTGCTGCATTAGTAAAGTTAGTTGACGATTGAAAATTTTAAGTCATTATGTTTATCATAAAGTTTTGTTGCAAAATTACCAGTAATGTCTCTTCTAATTATATATACAAATACGAAACAGATGTGTCAGATTCACAATTGCTGTGTATGTTTGACTTGATCTACAGCCGTGCAAATTTTAGCTTCAGAAACTTGTTTGCATATTATAATAAAAGCAGAGATAGAAATAGATTAAGTCTTTGTCATATCTGTATCATTTCTCTGTTCCTTGTAAACTTTTAAAAAAAAATTCTTGAAAAATGGATTAGGAAAGACCTTTTTCTTCGATTACTAGACTCAAGAAAATAGGCTCAAATCCGTAATTATGGATATTGCAAATCATAGGATTACCAACCCCCCCCCCCCCTCTCAAGTTTTACTAAAAAAAAATGCAACTAAAGAATTCGTCTTTTTCTTAAACTTCAATAAGCTAACAAAACAATTGACGCCGTTGATGTAAGTAATATTATTAATCACAAAAGGGTCCAGTCTTGTATTCCAACATATTTCAAGTTAAAGATTACACTTTGTATTTCCTGCGAATATGAATATCATATTGCTTTCAATCGTATTATTTACAGCGCCTGGATATCGAATATATGAAACATAATCCCCCATCGTGTTCATGTCTTTTTACCCTACAACTATAGTCTTGCTGGACATGTTATAACTGGTGACGTAAATATATAAATATGAGAACCGTAGATCACTTATTTTAAAAGGTCTTAAGGATAGATGTCAAAAATAATGTAAAATTATTTCTTAGATTTTGTCATTGAAGTACTGCTTCTTTAATATGTTTACTCACAAAAAATTGAGGTGCCTTACCAGGCGTTTGTGTAAGAAACCATATGATGGCGATTCTTTTGATAAACCTATCAGAAATAATTTAAATTGCTGATAGCCAATATACAAAATCTTTACCATTCTTATTTTCTAAAGAAAATTAGAAACCAGATTAGAAACCATGATGCATTTTTTAAATACATTACGATGATATATGTTTACGTGTTCATGTTTTCCTTTACCCTATTACTATAGTAACGCTGGACATGTTACTACAGGTGACCTAAATACTGATTAATTAATAAATTTAAAAAAATGATAATGAGGACCTTAGATCACCTATTATAAAAGGTCCTAATCATACAGAACCCCGATCCTTCAACTGGCGTCAAAATTTTTAAACAGTACGGATTTTATAGAAAGTTACGCAAGGCAATGGGATAGACACATCTGTTTCATATTTGGATATTTTACTTGAAAAAGACGTTTATGGTAATCTAACAACCAAGCTCTATGATAAACGTGATGACTTGAACTTTTCTATCGTCAACTTTCTTTACTTATGCAGAAATATACCTTCATCACCTACATATAGGGTTTATGTATCCCTGTAGAATTGATACGCAAGAGCATGCTCTACTTATGTATAATTTCTAAAACAAAGTAAATGAGACAAAACAAATTGTCAGCATCCTCGTTTAAATTCATCATTTTAAGTTCTTGATATTAAACGATTTACTTTATGCTCGAAACTTGAGTAAACTTGGGGAACGAACCATTTTTAAGATATTTCATATAACTAAAAAAACCAAACTTTCAAGGCAAAGGTTGAACAAAGGTACACGAACCAATAAACTTTTTTTACAAGAGGGCATATTTTTTTAACAACAGCAATTCAGAAACATCGACTCTACCTTAATTTTTAAAAAAAATGTCAGAAGTCACATGTCTTCGTTGTAGCTCTTGCAGCTTCTGTTATTAAGTTTAAAATCCGTTATTTGATTATTTGGATCAATTGATTGTATATTGTTTAACGTCCCTCTAGAGAATGTTTCACTCATATTGAGACGCCACCACTTCCTGGTGGAGAGCTTCAATTTTCTCCTATAATCGGCCCTTAGGGCAATTGAGCAGGGAGGAATCTTTTTCGTGCCAACACCTACTGCGACATGGAACCTCGGTGTATACGGTCTCATCCAAAGGAATGATCTTCACATCCCAAAGTAGGATTCGAATCCACGACGTAAGGATCAACAATTTACTTCGCGACTATATGGCAGACGCTCTAACCACTGCGCCATGCGTTAGACTATATGATTATTATTAATTAAGACAATCCTTCTGTATTATAAAAAAAACGAATAAAAGATTTTATCTCCTTTTTGAAAAATACAAGAAATATCATTTTGATTTTTTTAAGGTTCATTTAACAGAAGTCTGTTTACTTTTCTAAAATGTTGCTTTAAGGAAATGCATTTTATAAGAATATTACAGGTAATTATATCTTATATTGCGGGCAAAGTATAATAAAAAAAGACATTTCAACTTTAAAATCTAAAGTACAAAAATTGATAATTTATAGTTATCTTTCTTATGAGAGTAACAATAAACCTTAATGTAAAAAGAACTAAAACAGATGCAACATCTGCTATGAACCTCATCCTATGCCCATAACATAATATTGCTGTAACAGAGGAATTTATATTTCCGTTACGGACATGCTGCAATAAAACCCTATTTAGGACTTAAAATTAATTTTAAAACTAACGGTCATCGATTTTCTAAAACCTTAGCAGGACAACAGCTGTTTTGAAAAAGAAAAACATGATATACATTTATAGTCAGAAAAAAAAATCCTCAGAACCTTTTTTTTTACCCGCCTTTAAATAAATATTATCTTATCTTAAATTGACGAAACAAAACCATGTTGAAATAACTATTTTATGTTTAATAAGTGGGCAAGAAACTTTTACACCATGTGTTTCAAATTAGAAAGTACTAGCAGGAGAAAATGCAGGATAAGTTAAATTATAGATGTTATAATGTCATAACATACATGTATATGATTATTTATTGTAGAAATTTTGAAAGCCCAATTTCAGCTTTAATTGGCAATTCGACAGTAATACTTAATACAGGGTCAATACAATGCCCTTTTCAGAAAATACAATTTATCATTAAGTCAAATGTTCACTGACAATTTCATAAAATTTGTTAGTCCATTATTTATACACTGAATTGACGATGGATTAATTTTCCCGTTATTTCCCGATCGTGACAAAGAGCACACGGCTTTTATTGTTTCATGGACGTTTGATCGTGAATACTGATCGTTATCTCAATATGTTTCATTAAACAAAATATACCATAGGCCCAGGCTGTTGATGTGATATGTTCACTCTAGATGGTTATCTCTTCATGACATTCCTTTTGCTTTAATCACAAGGTGAAATATATGAAGATATAGAACAGTAATCAAGATTTAACGTCCATTAAACAATACAAAATAGAAGCAGAGCAAATACAGACCTCCAGAACATGGACCCACGAAACATCAGAGGTAGGATCAGGTGCCTAAGAGGAGCAAACATCTCCTGCCAACTGGCACATCCGCCGTGCTCTCCTTGTCATGATCTGGAAATAGCAGAAATATCCGTCGACACTTCAGAGTGTAAAGAGTGTTTAATTTAGCTTGCAACATCTAAGTAAATTAAAATCATTGAACCAAAGCACTTTTTACTCAGATTAAATTATAAAGATTTCAAATATTGTTTTTAAATAAGAAAACATAAGCAAATACAAATACAATAAACTCGGCCATAAATATACTCAGTAATTATTAGAACACAAGATCAGCCCGTACATTGCTTGAACATTAACAGATTAATTGAATTTGTGTATATGTATGTGTGAACTAAAATCATAATCTTAATTCAGAAAACGAACGGGATGTTCAGTCAAATTGAATTTAGAAAATGTGGGCTTGTGATATACTAACATAATTATTATTTTGAAATATGCCAAACAGTCAACAAATATCTGCTAATTGTCATATAATTTGTGTGAAAATTACCATCAGTTGCTAGTCCCACATTCCATGCAGGTCGTCTCTACAGGCGATAAGCTTTTTTGATTTGAATTCCCGGAATCCGACGGAAAATTTTAGTCTGAAGATAACTTAGGGTTGGGAGGTGGATAAAATATAAAGAGCATATAACAGTTTGTGTTGGATTTAATTTGATATCGTTATATAGAAAACTGCTCAGGTTCGGAATCTATCAAAAGGAACAGGATAGAAATTAAGGTAAAGTTAATCAGGCCATTCCTTGTTTTGTAAAAACAAAATTGATTGGACTTAAAAACTTGTGATGCAATTAATGATCTAAGAATAAATTAAGCACAATGATTAGTTGATGATCATGTTAAAAAAACTTAAAAGGCGGAGAAAAGGATCTGAGCTTAATCATGGATGTTTTCTTTTTATTGTAGTCTTCATTCTTCAGGACAAAGGATTCCTCACAATGATTTTGTATTTGATATTCCTTTCACTTCTCTCCCTTCATATTGCAAAGTCATCACATGGACGAGGTTTGTACCTTTGTTTTTCGTAGTACTATTTCTTTCTTTTATTCAACTTTAGTTAATTATATTTTTGATTAATTTAAAATTTAAGACAAGTTAAAATACCTAAATTTCATTTACTGAAAGGATACAGAAACGCAGAGTAAACTTTTGAGATGAATTAAATTAATTTGTTTTTCAATTTTTTTTAAAGATATATAACCGAAATCCCATTTGATTTTTTCTATTAATTCTTGAGTTATTGAAGCTCATAGTAGGCTACCCTCCAAAAGTGAAAATCGAAAACTCTCATAATCCTCAATGTCTCTCCCGCGCATCTGTCAGAGTCTTATTTCTCCTTTTCATGAAAATTATCAGAGTGTTTATCTTTCAATTCCTGGCTATATTGGGCATGGGTAACCACGCAAAAAAAAATGTCAAACGACACGCACATGCGCTTTTGAGAGGAACACAACAGTAAGTTGACCGGTTCGAAAAAACAAAAATTCGGAAATCTTTTTCTTTCATTTCTAGTGTGAATGTAATGATTACCGTAGTCTACTGTAAAAATGGCGGTATTTATTGTAGAAATGTGGCAATTTAAGAGATGGCTAGACAAATAAACCGCCCGTAACATGAGTCTGTTTAGCGCTAAAGACATCGTCATGGTTGATTAAAAACAATTCCAGGCCTTCTCTGACAACGGGTATCAAGTTTACGGGGGGAAATTTACAGGAAACTGCTTAGTGGCCCATTTTTTTCATTTTCATTAAATAGGCAATTCCAAAACTAGACCCCACGGAACTTCCGTAAACTGTACCAAGATTGCAAAAATTCATATCGTCTCTAAATATTGAAAAACAATGTGTATACCTCGGGAGGAATCAAATGGCCATTATCAAATTGCACGTATTTTCGACTTTTTAGCATTTTACCTACGTTACGTCATACAGTTTATGGTTGAGTAATTCTGAACACTGATTTTGATGCATAGTAACTAAATTTCTCATCTGACTAATTTTCGTAATTTTCGGTCATGCAGTCAAAATGTTTTCGAAAATTATCTTACACTGCATTTCTTTTTCCTTTCAGTATATAAAAAAGTTTCCATATTTTATGTTTCAACATCAAAACTAAAAATTCAAGCAATGTACATGTAATTTCAAATTGCAAAATCAACTTTTTTATAATGGCATTTTAATCCTTTTTCTAAAACAGTTAAATCAGAAGACTTGAATAATAATCATATGAGAAGGATAAGTGCTCTGGGGAAGAAAAATGCACAGGAAAACCAAGGCTGTTATAGATGTTCAAGGGAGATTATGAGAATTTTTATTTTGATTGGGAGGATATCGACATATAAATTTCATTAACTTTGGAATTATTAGTCAAAGTGACACATGATATTGGCATCTTGTTGATTACAGTTCAATGAAAATTTTTGATAACAATAATGGAGAACATATTGAAAATAATAGTTGTAATTTAACTCGAAAGTTTAGTATGCGCTTCTTTTTACCTTCAATATATTTAACACTTTAATCGATTTTAGATAAAAATAAACTAAAAATAAACAAATAAAAAAAAATACTCCCAAGATTTATATGATAAAAGATAAATGTAAACATATTTATATATTTCAATCAAAGGTGTTACAAATTGATTATAAAAGAATGTTTCAACTTAAGCATAGTGTCGTGGACCCTTTTCGGACTCCTCTAACTTTATCTAATTAACTCAAATCTTAATAATTTGCATTGAGAAATTTGGGCAAGAATGCGCTCACCATGTATTCCAGATTTAAAGATCGGAATAACTTTGAATAACAATGAAGATTCATGAATTGAATTAACTTCTCTTACATCACACAGCCTCATTCTTTATTTTTACTTACTTTTAACTCCTGTAAATTTCCAAAGTTGTGATTAAGACCTAAAAGAATTGCTTTATTAATCTCATTAGGCTACTTTCTATACTTTATTTTTGCGCAATTTACCAGGGGCCACTTTTTGTACACTAAGTGAAATCTTTCTCTCACGACAAGAAGCACCCGGCAGGTGTGACCGGTCAGCAAGGGATGTTCAGTCCTCCATGGCACCAAATTTCATCTCTAATGTATCGGAGTTCTCTGTTTGCTCTGCTCCTATTTTGTATTGTTTAATGGACTTTGATATTCAATATTGTTCTCTATCTCCATATCCTTCTGTATATCATGGTTTCAGAATGCAATTTATCAAACAGTGAAATGATAAAAAATATTAATACAAATGTTTAGTGATCAAAGTCGAAAAAAGGTGTGTTTTGAGCTTCACAACAAAGATAAGAATCACTAAATTATTTGTAGAATATTTTTTCAATGTATATATTGCTCATTTATATAGCAAAATAAAGAATCAATCGTTTTGTAAACTTTTTATATAAAATGAAATCTGTCTTCTGAAATGAGCATATATCACTGTTCAAAATCTATGTTATTCTGTATGGTTTTCAATATGGGAAATGGAAAAATAAAAAAGAATAGAAAAATTTGAAATCTTACATGCGTGTAACACTGCTTTTCTTTCAAGCTTTGTGGTCATAATTATAAACGAATGCTATATTACACTTTTTTCGTAACAGCTGTCTGTGGAACTCTGACATACAACCCAACGTTCAGTATTTGTTGCAACGGAGTGTTAAATAGCAAAGGTTCGCGCAGAAGTTGCTGTGAAACTAAGAATTACAATCCAGCTTATAGTGTTTGCTGCAACGGAGTTATAAATGACAAAGGTTCAAGCAGAAGTTGCTGTGGAACTAAGAATTACAATCCAGCTTATAGTGTTTGCTGCAACGGAGTTATAAATGACAAAGGTTCAAGCAGAAGTTGCTGTGGAATTAAGAATTACAATCCAGCTTATAGTGTTTGCTGCAACGGAGTTATAAATGACAAAGGTTCAAGCAGAAGTTGCTGTGGAACTAAAAATTACAACCGAGCTTATAGTGTTTGCTGCAACGGAGTTATAAATGACAAAGGTTCAAGCAGAAGTTGCTGTGGAACTAAGAATTACAACCCAGCATATAGTGCTTGCTGCAACGGAGTTATAAATGACAAAGGTTCAAGCAGAAGTTGCTGTGGAACTAAGAATTACAACCCAGCATATAGTGTTTGCTGCAACGGAGTTATAAATGACAAAGGTACAAGCAGAAGTTGCTGTGGAACTAAGAATTACAACCCAACTTTCAACAGTTGCTGCAATGGAATTATCTGTTAGAAAATTGGAGATTTTTAAAATCAGTAAATACGTAATTTTACTACAAATGATTTGCTTTTGCTTTTATTATTGATTGAAACATTAAGTTAAGCTATCGCGTTTCATGGTTGAAAAATCTTATATGCCGTGAGTACTTAAACATATACATTTCCAAATTTGATCAAATGGTATTTATAGTTTTCTATCCTTAATAGGGCGAACCTTTCCAACACAACGTATATATTACTGTGATATTGATGTTAGGTATTCAAAAGGGGAAAAGGATTTATCACACGAAAGCCTCAAAAATATAATTAACTAAGCAATAATTAGTTGCTAAAAATTGCATTGAAATCAGGATTTTTTTAAAATTAAAATTCATGTACTAAGAATATTTATAAATACTGTCGTGGAAAGATACATTTAAACACTAGAAATAGAATGCTAATTTCAAACGATTAATCTATCGTATAATTTTTTAAAATATATATATGTTTTACGGTGTGACTGTTGGGGCTAGCGCAGTTGCACCATCAAAACACTTAAAAAATTGAACAGCCACTTCAAACATCAAGCCGCACGAGACATCTCGACTACAGCTATGACGTCACATGATGTCAAGGCGCTGTTTACGTAGACCGCCGAATGTCTGGTTGACACTAAATATAAATAGATCTAATGCAATTTTTGTTGATAAAGATGACATAGTTATTATTATTTTTTTTTTTTTTGCTTAATTGAAAGATTTCTACAAACTGAGAGCATTTCATGCTTTTCGTTATTATTTATTTGCGCAAAGGACAATGGATAGTAAAGGAATTCTGGGAATGTTTCACAGAGAAACTTGCTTGACGTATGTACAGACTCCGGTTTTTAAACGTAAGTCTATTTCGCGACGCTCACTGTGCTCGCTATAATTGATTTTTTTTATTAATTAAAAGAGAGGGATATAACTCGTACAAAAATTCAAGGTTCACTATTCCCACCATTACATACTTATTTTACTTAGGGGAGCCGACTGGGGTTTTATTGTGTGAAAACTACAATAGCAAAACTATTCATTTTTATACCATATATAACTTAGATTTACTTTAGTGTACATGCAAAGTTTTGGGAAAATCTACCGCCCAGGTATTTTTCAGGGACCGTCTCAATATACAGGTACATTTACACTCCTCCATGGCACCTGATCCCACCTCTGATGTTTCGGAGGTCCGTGTTTGCTCTGCTCTTATTTTGTATATTTGTTTAATGGACGTTGAGATTGAATACTGTTCGTTATTTCCATATCCTTCCTTACTATAGGATTATACGAGAAAGTGTTAATTTTTTGCACTATAATGCAAATTATACAAATACTACATTAGACTTTTTGCCCTAACTATAATAGATGATAATTAACACTATATTGTACATAATGTGAAAGAACCACAAAATTCCATCGCCTTAATTCGAGAGGGGGCATCTAAAAATGCCAAAAAAATAACAAATTTCCTTGTTTACATGTAGTACTACAAAATATGACGCATACAAAGGTTTTGTACAAAAAAATTGAAATATGACGGAGAGATTGTCAAATTTTAAGTTCAAGAAAATATACAATGTATTTATTACACTTCCTTTTATAACATTTGTTATTACCCCATGTTTAAAAGCGTTGCGTTATCAAATATCAAAAACACATTACCAGTATTACGTCGCCAATTTACCTGTGAGATTAAAATTTTTTTTTAAAAAATTAATTATTTAATATTACAATAGAATAATTTTTATCCTTAATTTCTTAATTTTTTGCAGTTTTAATAATTAAGTGAAAAAAAGTTGCTTTTAAACAGTAAATACGCTTCATTTTACTATGATGCACGAAGTATTGCGCAATAGAAACCACAGTCGGCCCCCTTAATACGAATTATGTATAAATTTACTGAGTATGCAACATCTACATATCTGTTATGTTTTAAGTTTCATTTGATATGTTGCTTTTAGTGAAAGAATACCTTAAGGTACTGAGAATACCGGAAAAACTGTCTAAGATATAATTATTTTTATTTACATTATATTGGGGGTGGGGTTATATGCGGAAAAATGTCATTTTTTACCACCAGAAAAATGTTTGGAAATTTTTTTTTAAAAATGTGCTACATTGTACATGTATATATTTTATGAGAAATCTAAATTAACAAAAAAAATTGTTGCAAATTAGGTCCATACTATTACTCTGGTACAAAATATTTTACAATTACTTCAAGATACCGTCAAATATGTGTATGTTTTTCACTTAATATCGTTATCTTTAAAAAACAAAGTCATCACACATTTAGATTCATTTAGATTTCGGATAAATCCTCGTTAATCACCTGCGCCAAACTCTTTTATACACATATCATGAATTCTACTTCTCATCCGAGGTATAAAAAGGATAAGTGTCACATTATATTTTCGTTATATTTTATACACGCTGACTTTTTAACAAGAGGAATAAAACAAGTTATCTAAATATTCAAATATGTACGTCTTTGTTAAAAAAATGACAAGATTATTTTACACAAGTTTTAAGATACCTTATATTCAGTTTGAAATGAGATACAAAGTTTATGACACTCTCCCCATCATTACGGCTCAAGTATGACATCATACATTTATAGTTCAGAGAAGTGGATGCACAGATTATAGTGTGATATTCTTTGGAATGCCTTAACGTACCTGTGTGCTCAAGAACAATATTTATATATTTCATTGGTACATTGCATTATTATACTATTATAAAGTATTATTCAGTAAGGGATGCTCACTCCTCCATGGCACCTGATCCCACCTCTGATGTTTCTGGGGTCCGTGTTTGCTCTGCTCCTATATTATATTGTTTTATGGACTAACACATTGAATATTGTTCGTTATCTTCATATCATGCACTAAACTGTCCACTCTTACCTTCCAAAATATTTCAAGTTGAAAAGGACACTTTGTATTTCCCTCAAATATAAATCAACCTTTTTTCTTCAAAATTTTTAATAACAAGATAAATTTACGGGGCCTGCATATCGAATATCTGGAACGTAATCCTCCTTTGTGTTCATATCTGGTGGATATGCCATTACTGTTGACTTAGATATATTTAAAAAAATTGGGAACTTAAATCACTTACTTGTTTTATAAGGTTAAATTATAAGATTTTAACAATCCTTTTACTGGCGTCAGATTTTCATAAATATTATGGATTATGCAGAAAATTATACAAGGCAAGGGACCAAACATAAAAAAAAAACCTTGAAACTTTGCAAGAATGGATTAAATGGATGGGATGTATGTTAAATCGGACATTAACAGATTGAGGAGTACTTAGTCAATAAAAACCATCTATCCTTCTGTTCTCAATAATCCAGAAGTGAATAAAAAGAATTAGATTGATAACATAATCACTACATACTAGTTCTTGCTACCAAAGCAGGTAACAACAATATCTTTGTTAGAAGCACATCACAAGTGTGCCGGTCAGGAAAGGGCTGCTCACTCCTCCATGGCACCTGATCCCACCTCTGATGTGTCTGAGGTCCGTGTTTGCTCTGCTCCCATTTTGTATTGTTTCATTGTCTTTGAGATTGAATACTGTTAGTTATCTCCATACCCTTTTTGTCAGGCTCGTTACATAAAATGTATTTTCGAAGAACTTGCATTTAATTCTATTCATTTAAAGTCTCTTAAGGCGTCATGACAACATCCTAATCTATCTGAACTGCTCTCCGGTGCGCCGTAACGTCATAAAAAGTCGCCATTTTTCGTGTATTGTGTTTATTACTTTCCCATTTCAAATGCTCGGGAAACTGCCAAAAATTAACCAAATGCCTTGACATTTTTAAAAAGACGACAGAATTGAATAAGGAATGGAATAAGGATAACTTTCATCCTAATCTTATGTATTGAAGACTTTTATTACGAATTAATTCTTATGTCTTCTCTAATGTAACTTTGCTATTGCTATTTTTACCGTTCGCCGTAGCACAATACCTTGAATAACATATTCAAGCAGAATAAAATCTTAATTTTAGAATATATATTAAAAAAACATTACGATTCTGTTAAATATGATGAATAAACATTTACTGAAAATTTCAGCTTAGTGCGCCCATCACTTTTCGAGAAAAACGCTTTGTCCACGATTTTATGGGACAAGTGATAAAACACTATATACTCATAGTTTCCTTTCTAAGAAAGACATTTTTCAAACTCGTACACCAGTTTTGAATTATCTTAATATTCCAAACAACTAAAATAAATTTGAATTACTATATCTATATTTGATTCCAAAAGTTAATACAATCCCTACAACGAGACCACGGAACACAGTGGTTTCCAGTAAATGTGCCATCAAACATCTTTCTTTACTCCTAACTAAGATACAACGAACAATATTTACATTCGCTGTGTTTTTCTAGTAAGCTTACCGTGAAATTGATTTGAAAAACATTTTCGTGTATACTCACGCGAAGAAATATACACGGAGAAACGTGCGTTAACGTGACGTCAAAATGAGAATGCAGCGACGTTAGTAAAATGCAATAATATAGGACAGCGAGAAATTCGAATATTGAGTATATTTTGGTTGCCTCCAAACAGGTAAAATGTAAATATAAGGAATGTTTTCCAGTTTAGTGTGAATTATTGGTTTGTGAATCACACAGACTTGCACATAGGCATATTTTGTAGGCAAATATGCCTAGGTGACAAATCTGTGTGATTCACACACCAATAACTCACACAAAACTAAAAACATTCCTTACGTAGCAGACACTTCATTAGTAACGTGCAATTATATACTCGAGTCCAATTGGTGTACGCCACATGTAGATGCTTAATTTTTCCACCGAACTCTTGGAGAACTTGAAATCACAGGATTTTACAAAATTCAACAGCTTAAAAACTTAAGATTTTCAATCTTATGCCCAACCATTCCCTACGATAAACTGAAGCCCAAGCATTTTAACATCGCCGACAACTGTTTTTTTTTTTATTAATAAAAAAGGGGGGAGGGGGGGATGACTACTGCGCTTAAGAATCTGCGACATTTGCAT